AACGCGCCCACCCGCCCTCCTTCCTCACCGACCTCAACAACCCGCACAACTTGACCTGCTGGCAGTCCGACAGCTACGTCCAGTACCCCCACAACGTCACCCTCACCCTCTCCCTGGGCAAAAAATTCGAGGTGACCTACGTCAGCCTGCAGTTCTGCTCCCCTCGCCCCGAATCCATGGCCATCCACAAATCCATGGATTACGGCAAGACCTGGGTGCCCTTCCAGTTCTACTCCACGCAGTGCCGCAAGATGTACAACAAGCCCAGCCGCGCCGCCATCACCAAGCAGAACGAGCAGGAGGCGGTCTGCACCGACTCGCACACCGACGTGCGGCCCCTCTCCGGCGGCCTCATCGCCTTCAGCACCCTGGACGGCCGCCCCACCGCCCACGACTTCGACAACTGGCCCGTGCTGCCACCGACATCAGGGTGCCCTTCAGCCGTCTCCACACTTTCGGCGACGAGAGTGAGGATGACTCCGAGCTGGCCCGCGATTCTTATTTCTATGCCGTCTCCGACTTGCAGGTTGGAGGGCGATGCAAGTGTAACGGGCACGCGTCGCGATGCGTCCGGGATCGCGACGACAGCTTGGTGTGCGACTGTAAGCACAACACGGCCGGTCCCGAGGGCGACCGCTGCAAACCCTTCCACTACGACCGGCCCTGGCAGAGAGCGACCGCCCGGGAGGCCAACGAGTGTGTGGGTGAGTCCCACGCCGCGGGCACGGACACTCCGGGAAACGCGGGGGGAAGGATGGGGAGAAGGAGCTGGGGTCCCCGGAAAGGCAGGGAGAGGGAGGGGAAGGCGAGGAACCCGCCAGAGGACCGGGAGAGAAAGGCAGGGCGACATGCAGGACCGAGCAGGGGACGTTCAGGGACGGGCAGAGAAAGGCAGGGGAACATCCAGGACCCGGCAGGAGACGGGGAGGGAAAGGCAGAGTGACATCCAGGACCCGGCAAGGGACCTTCAGGGACAGGCAGTGAAAAGCAGGGGGACATCCAAGACCCGAGAGGGGACGGGGAGAAAAAGGCAAGGGGACATCCAGGACCCGGCAAGAGACCTTCAGGGACGGGCAACAAAAGGCATGGGGACATCCAGGGACGCGGCGAGCAGCGCGAGGACATCCAGGGACACGGGGAGCGGGACAGGGACGCACAGGGAGATGGAGAGCAGGACAGGGCAAGGACACTGAGGTACCCGGGAGCGTGGGGTAAAGGAGGGGACAGCGAGGGATTCAGGAGCGCGGAGCAGGGGATGTGAAGGCACTCGGCAGTGCAGGGGATGGGGACACCGAGGAGGCCGGCAGCTCAAGGCAGGGGACACTGAGGCACCAGGCAGGGCACTGGTGACAACACCGAGGGACGCCGTGGTGCAGTGTAGGGGGCACAAAGAACTGGGGAGCACGGGGCAGGGGACGGCGAGGCACAGGAATTTGCGGCGGGGGACACCGGAGAACCGGGGAGCGCGGGACCGGGGACACCAGGGGA